AAGAGGAAAAAATGAGAATCAAGACTTGCCATGTAGAGGTACATGATCCCAACAATGAATGTAACTGTACTGTATCCCTAAAATGTACCAATAAACTCAATAAAATTAAAAAAATAAAGTTTTTTAAAAATTAAATTTAGAAATATTAAAAAGTTTACAGAGTAATAATACAAATAAAATGTTTGTAAAACTGTATGTTTGTGTTTAAAGCTGTTATTATAAAAGTTTTTTTAAATTAAAAAGTTTATAAAGTAAGGGTCGGGATTTAGCTCAGTGGTGCCGCCACCTGCCTCACAAGTGCAAGGTCCCAAGTTCAATCTCTGGTACCAAAAAAAAAAAAAAAAAAAAAATTATAAAGGAAAATTATTAGCTGGGCATGGTGGTGCATGCCTGTAATCCCAGCACTTGGAAGACTAAGGCAAGAGGATCATTGGGAGTTTGAGGCAATCCTGGGCTACACAGTGAGTTTAAGGCCAGTCCAAACTATACAATGAGACCTTGTCTCAAAAAAAAAGTTATAGTAGGCCACAGTTAACTTGCTGTTGAATGGAAAGTAGCACTAGTATAAATTTAGTGAAGCTCATGTGCAAGAGTGTGCAGAGTTTACCAAGTATCCTCACACAAACCCACTTGCCCAGATCTGCTCCAGGACGGAGAGCTCACTGTCAGCACCACTTTCGACTTCCATCCTGCATTCTTACTGGACCATTCCTGCATTCAGAAAGGTTTAAAAATACAGATGCTCCACTGTGCTACAATAGCCTATAAAACCCAACACAGAGCCATGGGCACAGGTTTGTGGCACTGGAGCACTAGGTGAACCAGATGGTCTATAGGCATGCAGGAGGCTATATCGCCTAGATTGGCAAAGTGCACTCTAGGAGGTTTGCAGAAGACAAAGCCACCTAATGATGCATTTCTCAGAACACAATTCCGTAGTGAAGCAATACATGACTATGTATGCATGGTATATAACTATATATCAGATATTTATCCCCATACAAAAACTATCTTCTGTAATAAGTTTTTATCTCTATATGTATCCATTTGTATGTCCCATCCCCTGTATGTTCCATCTTCTGTATGCCCATCTGGGCAACAGACCCCTCCTGAAGCCAACAAGAATAACGCAAGCAAATGGAAAAAATATAAATTCAGGGCCACAATAGTCAGCTCCTCCTTGGAGACATCTCTGAAGGAGCATTTGAAGCAGTAAGGAACAAGATCCCCAGAACAGGGGATCTACTGAGACAAAAGGGCAGCTCAAGCCTGTGCATGTGAGTGGGGCCAAGGGACCACACACCACAGTCTTTTTTTTTTTTTCTGGGTACTGGGGATCTAACTTAGGACCTTGTACTTACAAGGCAGGCAGCACACCACAGTCTTATTCACTGCCATCCTCACTGGGATCCTGCTTGGGAGGACAGGAGCACAGGGGTGCTCAGAAGAATCTTGCCTTCTGAGGCATGCAGGCTGGGTCCTCCCAGGCATTATAGCAGGCGTCAGAGATACAGAACACCTTCAGGACCCAACAGTGTGAGGACAGAGAGGCGCAGTGCAAACAGCCTTGATACAAAGTTAAGGTTAGGCCTCCCTCTGCCCTGTAAATGAGACATTGGTGCCAAAGTAGGTACTCCCTCTCCTGTGAGAGCAAAAAAACTGGGAGGACCAGGTAGTTTTGTATTAGCTACACGGGCAGCACTGAGCATGCAGTTTGCAAGAGGGCAGGCCTGGCAGATGGAAAGCAACAGCAAGATTGGAGGCACAGCCCACCATCACTGAAACTTCAACCAAA